TCTTTACACTAATTGATTTGTCTCATTATTCTGAACATAAAAGTATTACGGTAAGATTATTGACAACTAAATATTTTACGAGATATTTTATTTTTTATATCAAAATATGTCAGAATAAAATATAAAATAACTCAAAAAGTACTTAATGAAAAAAATACTTTATTATAGTGTTTTGGAAAGCTCTCGACATAATCTATAAGAATATGCAATAAAAAATGGGGGGTTCCATTTAAGAAAATATTGATCACATTGACTTGGCCTTGAAAAGGTTACTCAAGGTCAGTCCATATTTTCATCATGTGTCCTTCTCTGAACCCTACAACTTTTGTATAAAACATTTTTTTCCATTTTGCTTACTTTACGAGATATTTGCGTGCGTTGATTAAAATGACTCACCCTGTATATCTGTATAGGTACAATATAACACAAGAGCTTACGATGTATGACGTTATATCACATAAAAATTTATTAACAACTTTGAAATAATAAACCATTTCGTATATATCGACAATATGTATATAGAGAGTGACGCGTGGATGGTTCGCATGTATTTTTATTTTATTTTTTCAAATGTTTGATTAATTGAACAATAGAGATTATAACTCGACGATACCGATACTGATACATACATCGCATGCGACTCGCATAAATACATACATCTCGGGAAGGTCCGTTTACATCAAAATCGCGTTAATCGAATTTTACTTTCCCGCAGATATTACGGATTACAGGCAGGGATATTCTAATCGAGAAATTCAATTAGCATTTCTGCGTGTGTATCAAATCGCGTTACGGCAACTGCCAACTTGCGTAATACGGTTTACTCTCTCTCTCTCTCTCTATTTTGTCGATCGCGCATAATTACGCCTCATGTAAATCGGGTTTGCGTGCTGACGACTAAATACGACGTGGTTTCTTTTCCGAGACTAATCTCCTTTGTATGAAATATATGCGAAATATATACACAACTATCTTACAACTTAATTCCTTAGCGAAAAACATTGCTCGCAAAACTCGGACTTTAATCAGCGTCGTGGAAAGCCATTCTTTTATTGATAAAACTAATAATTGTCTGAAAGGAGAGATAGAGAATTTCTTGAACGGGAAATTTTTGTTTCTCTGTTATTTAGACGGTGGCTTATTTTTTTACGACGGAAAAAAGCTAGAATAATTTCATAAATGGAGGTCAGAACGTTTGCGTTCGCGGAAGTCAATCTGCATTTCGAGCATAAACATCCGGGATTTGTGCGCATTGGTTACACTATTTGCATGACTCCGAAATTGATGTAATGAAAACCTTTCCGGTTGCGCGTAATGGTATACCTGATAACAGGCGTTATCGAACAGGAAAAAGTAATGTTTCCCTGGAAGGCAAATGCGCTCTCATAACTTGTCCATATGATGTATCACGCTCGCTATATCGCGAGTTTTATATAACACACGCATAATACACGCGTACATATAAAGTGCGTATGCGTATAATGATTTATGTAAAAATTTATTTTCCGGTCTTTTTAATTTTATATTCTCGTTCCTCGTGAAAATGACGAAAGCTTCAATTCGAGATGTTAATTATTTTTTTACATTACATTATAACTAGCTTCTATTACTTTCTCTCTTTTCTTTTGATTCTAACATTTCTATTTACGCGCTAGATTTCTCGTGAATTATTAAACGGACGATAACATATACGAACAAAAGATGGTTGATACATATTCAGCAAGATTATTTCCACGAGTGAGTTCAAGACTGTTCTTCTTCTTATATCCATGAATTTTATATATTTATAATGCAAGACGGATAAATATTTATTCAACCACAGCCCCTTGTGATAGCATGCCGTTCGAGAAACTGCGGGTGTTTAAATTATTTCAAGGATAGAACCTATGAATTTATCGACTGCACACAGTTTTCTTGCGCGATGGAACATTCTCCCGATCTCGCCACTTTTCCTTTTTCCGCTCGACAGAATCCGCTCGCGACATTTCAGTCGCTAAACGCAACGTGTTGAAGAGGCACGACACTTTGTAGAAAAAACGGGTTACGCTCCCTTTCTTCTGTAGTCGTCCATAAATAGAGATGAAAATAGAAAAAAAATTTCACGGAAGGAAGAAAAATCCGGTAGCGATTCACGCACCAGATTCGTCTCTCGGTAATTAGTCGTTTGGTCGAACTTGACGTTACGGAAGAAGCGAGAGCTCTCTCTCCCGCGTCTCTAAAGAATTCTCATTTATTGATGCCAAGTCGGAACAAACCAGGAAGAATTTCATCTGCGCTAAATCAGCTTAACGATGTCTATAATTAGCTCCTTTATGAGAACTAATTTGAATTCAGCAATTAATAGCGAAATTGCTTTCGGTTCCGGACGTACTTCTATGTATGCACTTTGAGTAAGCAAGCATGAATAGGATTTATCTCGATATTCCATTGTTTCAAGGATATAATTATTCACGTGTAGGATATATAATTAGGCGCATTATTAATTAAATAAATTATACTGTATATTAAATGAATATTTAAAGATAACTATATGAAGGCAAAAATATAAAAATTTTAGACACTCGTTAATTTATGTGAATGCAAATATCTGTATCTCGAAATTCTTAATTTTTCTCCTAAGACGAGAGAGAGAGAGAGAGAGAGAGAGAGAGTTTCTTAGTTTAAATCAATTTTTTTCTTCGAATATACAATCCAGCGAAGAGCGAGGAAAATATTGATTTAGGGAAGATATGTTGTTTAATGAGCGCGCAAAATTTCTCGTTTGAACGGTAAACATTTCCCTCATTGCACGCCGGAATTGTCTTCCGTTTCTTACGTTGTCGCAGATCGACGAACCGCTTTCGGCGCAGCAGCGCGGAAAATAGACTACGTCCGATCGCGATCGTTCTTTCGGCATTCACGATTTGCTCGCGACCTCTCTCGCAGAAAGAATCGGTAAAGCGGCCACGAGCACAGGCGCGATACAGTCGACTCTTTTACTCCGCGTGATTTTTCGCCCGACACGCGCGGGCGCGCTCTGAAATGTTGAAAAAAAATATTCTCTCGACGCGTGTTCGCGAGTTGAGATGATATCTTATTGTTAGCTATTTCGGTTGCGTGCATAGTAATTTCCTCTCCGTTTGTCGCGTGAAATATATATATACGCCACCGAGGCAATACACGGCTGAGCACACGTTGACAGCCTTTTTATAACGAGTACGTTCGTGAGAGACGCTGAAGATATAAGTGGAAATATGACGTTTGAGGGAGATAACATTCTAGTTTTGTGTGACGTTGGCCGAAACACTAGTTGGAAATTTTAATAGAGTCGACTGGCGACGACATATAAAGAGAAAGGGAGAGAGAGAGAGAGAGAGAGAGAGAGAGAGAGAGAGAGAGAGAGAGAGAGCTCGATAGGAATACGGGAGAGAGAAAGAAGTGGAATTCTTTTCCTTGGATTCGGATTACTTTTATTAATCTGTGAAGGCCAGGAAATAAATTGCTTATCAAAATTGCAAGCCAAAGCATGGGTGCTGCTACTGTATGTTTATATCGCTGTTTACATCAATATAATTTACATTTTGTAATTAGATATATATTACTTG